TCGAAGCGGACACAACGGCCTCTCCGCCTTGCCCGGCGCGCTGGCCCGCATGGCCATCTACCGCCTCTCCCTCCGCCGGAACTCCCTCTCTTCGTCCGCGGCCGTGGAGGCGTTCTTGGCGCCGCCGGCGATAGCGCCTCCCGGGAGCCTGCCGCTGTCGATATCCATCCGGGAGTTGGACCTGTCGTCCAACGATCTGGGAGAGGTGCCTCCGGCTATCTTTGCCTGCCGTGGCCTACAGGTGTGTGAATGTGCGTTTGTGTGTGTGTTTTTTAGGTGTTGTTTCACGTGTTTGTTGTGGTTGTTGAACAAGGTCCCGATAAAAAGAACTCTTGATTGTTTTCGTTCGGGTCCATACTGTACCATGTCTTGGGTTCTCGTCCATGTACCAATGGTAGCACGGAGGAACGCCATCGATGATAAATACCTTTCAGTTTTTTTTTTTTTTCTCCTTCCACGCTCTTGTTTACCGCTGTCACTGTCAAGTCGCCGTCGCTGGTAAGCTTGGCTCCAACAAACACCGGCCACCATCCGTTGCCGCTACCACCCCCCCCCAGCTTTTATTATTTGACCTGTACCCGATAGTAGGCTTTTGCTTCGTGTTGTTGTGGTCAATTTGGGTTGTAATTTACTGAAAATGCATGTAGAGTGGAAGAAAAGTTAGTGCATATATGTCTAATTCGCAAATAAAAAACATTTCCTATCGAGTACAGGTCTATTTATTTTCCCATCGCGCCACGACACGACTCTCCCTCTCTCCCTCCCTCCCTCGCGCAGACGCTAGTCCTGGCCTACAACCCCCTGTCGGACGTGTCTGGCCTGCCCTGGGCGGCCCTAGGGAGTCTCGAGACCCTTGACCTGTCGAACAACCGCCTCCGCTGCCTTGGAGACGTTGTCCTAATGACCTGGTTGCGCCGCCTGAACCTCGAGAACAACGACATTTCTCCGGTGCCGCTGGAACTCGGCCTGTGCACGGGTGAGCGGAATGTGGGGGAGTGTGTGTGTGTGGTTTGGATGTGAGAACGGAGGGCGGCCGTGTTTTTTTTCTGTATTCAGGTTTGGATGTGGAAAGACGACCTTGTTATTTTTCTCCTGCACTTAGGTTTGGATGTGGGATGGCGGCCGTGTTACTTCCATGTTTGTGTTTAGGTTTGGATGTGGGACGGTGGCCGTATCGTTTTCTGTATTTAGATTTGCATGTGGGAGGACGACCGTGTCATTTCGTGTGTGATTAGGTTTATCTCTCTATCTGTAACAACGACCACACGCCAACCAGCTGACCAATGACAGCACACCAGGTGGCAGGATAAGAAACAAGCGGTTCTCTACGCAGCTGGTATCCTTTTAGAAAGGAAAC